TACATACATATATATATATATATATATATATATATATATATATATATATATATATATATAAAAGCCATGGTGGCACAGTGGTCTGAATGCAGTATGGCAAAATAACTCTGCCTGGAGTTCAATCCTGATGGGCTCAAGATTGACTCAGCCTTCCATCCTTCAGAGATCAGTAAAATGTGGACCCAAATTGTTGGGGAAAATATGCTGGCATTTATAAACCACCTAAAGAATGCTGTAAAGTACTATGGGGCAGTAAATATGTCTAAGTGCTATTGCTGTTGCTATCCATTAAAGTATACATTTCCAAATTAAGTTTGAAAAAGTTGCAAAAGTCAAATAGCAAATTTCCAAATTATACCTACTTGTCACTTCAGAAAATAATGATCCATGTCAGGTATAACCATAGGGTGGCTGATAGTTGACTGACAGGCTTGCTCTCACTGAATATATTGAAAAATTGCTTTTATTCAAAGGGAAAAAAAGAGTGAATCAAGATGCCATCAGATTTCCTGCTCTTGGCAACTTGATAAAGAATCTGCTATAATTAGCTTATGGATTCAATTGTGTTTCTTCAGTGACTAATTATAGGCTATTTGTTTGTTTTATTTATTTAAACGTCTTCTAGGACTACCCATATTTTGTGCTCTAACTTTTGGTAGAAACAGAAAAATAAATAAATAAATAAACAAACAATAAAATCAGCATTAAACAAATCTTCCATTTCCCAAAACAAACACTTCTCCATATGGCAATATTTAAATGTATTGGGCTCTTGGAAAAAAGCTGCCAGGCTGAAATCGAAGTCCATTTATCTCCCATCTAATATTTCATCTTTGTAAAATGACTTGAATATTTCTAAGATCCTTAATCTCATACCAAGAATCATTGTCTCCCTCCTGCCTATGGATAAAAATATTTTCTTGAACAACAACAAAATCTCTTCTTAAGGTCTTTAACCCAAAGTATTATTTTATCATTGTTATGACTATACTTGTTATTTATAGACTAGCTGTAAAAACAAAGTATTTTCAGCACCTGACTTGGCAGTTTTAAGGTAATGGTGAAAAGAAAAATAGCCTACAGTATATATAGTAACGCATTTTAATTAAAGTTCCTATTTTCCTTAAGGAAAAAAAAAACAAATGGAGGAGATAATGGGGATAGTCATTTTCCCTGGGCACTGCCTAAAAATTAGAAGAACGTGACCTGGAAACCAGAAGTATATGTAATTGCATTCCATGGAATTAATTTCTTGGTTGTCCATCCCATGTCATCTCCTTGCACCACCGCTACCTCCTGTGGATTTCCACAGGATGCTCATTCAGCTTTTTTCCATTTCCCTGCAAGGTTACATGAGATAAAATAGCTGCACCATTGTGCCTTAAGAATTCTTGTATCTGTTACAAAGAAAACACATCTTTCATCCCAGAAATGTCCTCAGCCTGGAGCATCAGCATGTTGTATTAACACAGGAATGCACTTGCCTCCAAGAGGGGCCCCGAAGCAACATCCAACACCAACTGCACAAGCGGCCACCAGGAGGTCCAGTTGCCTATACACGTTCTGGAACAAAGAGCCCAGCCAGAGAGAGGCATGCCAGGGTTAGAGTGAGCACAGGCAAGAGTTAGTCCTTTCTTCTCCTGCTGCTCAAATGCTAAGCATCTGCCAGCAGCAAAGCCAGCCTTCTTTTAGAGCCTTGTGAGTCGGCTTTAGTAGCAAGGGTCAGCCAGTATCTACAAGAACTCAAACTCTTCCTGCCTTGGTCCCGTTTCCCGTATTCTCCTTACATTCATTTTATTTCTTAATGTTCAGATTGATTAGATCAGGGGTCTCCAACCTTGGCAACTTTAAGCTGGTTGAGGAATTCTGGGAGTTGAAGTCCACAAGTCTTAAAGTTGCCAGGGTTGGAGACCCCTGGATTAGATGACTTCTAAAATAAATCATCTAAGCATTTGTTCTCAGCCATTGGAAGAATACAGGCTGGCCAAGTCATAAAGCTGTTGCTTTATTTTATTTCTGCAGCTAGGGTTAGAAGCAACAAGCTTCTGGAGTCACAGCCAGCCTCAAGACGTAGCTGCTTACAACAGCCATAGCTATAAGCACAGTTTGCATGTTAATTGTTCTCAATGAATCTGCTCTTAAATACAAGAAGGGGGGGAGGGGGAATCATCCTTATTTACATCTATTCAAACACTTCAGTTTCATAAGGGTAACAACTGAAGTGAAGACTCTCAGTCCTAAATTATGCTGGTCTTTTTGCAACCAGCATATATGACAGAGATATGGCCAATCTTGTTTATCTTTGGCTCTTCTGCATATTTGTGTTTGCAAAACTTTGGAATTATGTTTTATCAGGAGAAAAGGCGTAAATCAGAATGAGTTGATATTTCACAGGATAAGTAAAGTTCAGATTTAACATGAGGATAGGAAACTGATATTAAAAGCCCATTCCATACTGCCAGATTACCTGTTCAAATTGTTCCCTCATACGTAATTCCAAACTTTTATTTACACAGAAATTGATATTTTGGAAAAGCCAAACATTGCTCCTGATATTTTTTCCAGTACAATTACAATTGCACTACATTATTCTTGAGCAATTCTTCCATGTTTCACTGGACATAATTGCAGTCAAGATACTTAATACTCCTCCCACTGTCATCTCCTGTGTTGTGTAGGTTCTTGTTTTTGAACGAACTGTTTCATTTTAATGTTCTCAGTTCTGCTTTCATCTTCAATAGTCTATATAATGTTCTCTCTCCCAGCAATCTCACTCTGAAACTAGATGAAGCATGCAGAACACTTACCTCATAAACTCCACAAAAGATAGACAAGAACTTGCTGAGGACAGCAGCACAGATGCTTGCAATGTGCACAAAAGGGCCCTGCCGGAGGGAGAGGGAGAGAGATTGTGTAAATAAAGAACTGGGAAGAACTAGGCTGAGTAGCATCACAGTGCAGGGCAACAGCAAAGGATGCACCTCCGACCATTCTCTCCCTGCCTACATTGAACTAAAACTATTTCAGCATCTTTGCTAGCTCTTTTGTGCTATCAAATCCACAGATCGAACTTCTGTCCTTGGTGATCAAGTGTAGTGGGGAAGATCAAAAGCACTCAGGGCTGGATTTGGGAGTCCATAATTAAAGGGAGTGATTGGTCCCCCAGGCCTCTGGGCATGTGGGAGTGGCTTAGTTGCTTCTAATAAATAAGCTCGTTTCTGCAGCTTCTGGTTGCATGGGTCTCTCTGACTGCTTCCCAAAATGCTCCTTTATCAAGCCAGGAAGAAGTATACCCATGTAGCTGCAGTTCCTCCCTTCTCTTTGTTCTTCCAGCTGAGTCTATTTCTGCCTCAGAATAAACCAGTTAGTTGCACTCCTCTGCTTGCTTTGCTATAATGCAAAAGTGAAATTGCAATTCAGGTACCGTTATCCAATTTATACTATCATCCAATTCCTGAGATGCTGGTAACTTCATTGTTCTTGTGCTTTATGTCTTTTTAGTTTGATAAATATCTTTGGCTCAAAAGTACCAGTATTGCGGGGGGGGGGGGGGATTAATGGAACTGCCAGAAGCCAGAGTTGCAATGATCATCATCCATGTGCCTCTGCTGCTGATGTAAGGAAGAGATTGTGCCTTTCTCTGTTAATTAAATAGAAGGGGATGACCTAAAGAAATGCTAGCATCTGACACTGTCAGACTAATTAAAGATACTGTCTTACAGCCAGCAACAGAGAACTGCCTAGTTTAGGACTCCAGTGGGAAAACTAGGCAGCCAGCAAAAGAGAACTGGCTAGGTTAGTGCTCCAGTGGGGAAAATAGCTTAGTTCAGAAACATTCCCACCTGTTTATTTCACTGATACTAACAGAAGAGAATATGTATCACTCAGGGTTGAACTATGAAGCCTTTCATGCTTTTTGACCCTGATTGTTTGTTTGCAGATGTTTCATTACCCAACTAGTGCAAGTGAGAGTGGTTTTTACTGCCTGTTTATGTGCAATGGCTTGCCTTGCCAGTTTGCTGAGGGTTTGCTTCTCTCCTTCGTTAATGTACTGTTTTCTGCTTGATTGTTTGTCTGGTGTTAATCCCTGCTTAGCTGGATGTTGGCCAGGGGTGGGTTGCTGGCGGCATTGGTGACGGTTCACTGCATGCATGTGCGCAGTTGACTAAAAAAGATACCGGCAATGGCATCGGCGACCGGGGAACCAGCTCAGGGGCGTGGCCAGCCTGGGTTGCTGACAGTTTGGGCGACCAAGGCCAAAATACCACTACCTGTTTACCTGAACAGGTAGCAACCCACCTCTGGTGTTGGCAGCAGGGGAGGATGTCTTTTTTTTTTCCTTCTTGGCTTTTTTTACTGTGTCATTTTAATGCTTTGTAAATGTGGTTTAAAATGCATCTGGTTTTTTTTCTTTCATTTGATCTATTCTGAGTTTAGAATCTTTTAGTTCTTTCAAGCCTTTGCCTTCAAGCTGATGCCTGCCATTACTTACCCTCTTGTCTCCCTTACCTCTACTCCCAGTTGTACCCACCTCTTTTCCAACAGGAATCCCACTTCCCAGGCCAGCTGTCAGGCTTACAACTTTGGCCACAAATGCTTTAGGTGTGAGGTACTCCTTGAGGACTACTCCTCGCATAATAGTTTTCAGTTCTGGAATCCCAGAGCCTGAACAAAACAGAAAGGAATCATGAAAAATGAAGTTCAGAGAGAACATAGGCCAAAACATATTGAGAGACCACAGCACAAGGGACACTTGTCAGATACTACAAGACCTCTTAGGTGACACCCAGGTTGACTTCAGTCAGATAAGAAGTATACCTCACAGGTTTGTTATTGTGGGGAAAATAGGAGGAGAAAGTTGTGTTGGTTATTTATTTATTTATTTATTTATTTATTTATTTATTTATTTATTTATTTATTTATTTATTTGAGTTATATACCACTTCATAGGGCTTTCAGCCCTCTCTAAGCGGTTTACAAATTTTTTAGCAAATTGAGTCAGCAACTTGCCCCCACAGTCCGGGTCCTCATTTCACCCACCTCGGAAGGATGGAAGGCTGAGTCGACCTTGAGCTGGTGAGATTTGAACCACTGAACTNGCAGCCGATGCCTCGACCGACAAGAGGCACGTCCTCCGTACCCTTAGCAGGACCAGTCCCATCCCCCCCGCCTGTCCCCACCCTGGCGCAATCGGGCTGCAATCGGTGGCCGTCCCTGCTGCAATCCGCGCCGCCCGCCGCATCAGCCGGAATCTAATTCAAGATATCTTAATTTTATAACACGGGGCAACTGACGATAGTTTAAGTGGGCGGGGCTGGCGCAAACTACAGTCAGTCACCCCGCGCTCATCAAAACAAGTTCGGGGAGAGTAGATGTTGGGCAGGAAGGCTGGCGGCTCCCGGACGGCGATCCCACCACCATCCGCTCGCAGCTCTTCCCGCCCGGACTTCCAAAGCCTTCCAGCCTGCCCGGGGCAAGTCAGCTGCAGTGCAGCCGGTGATGGGCAGGAAGGCTTCTGGCGGCTATCCCACCACCATCCGCCTGCTCACTTGCTACGTTACCCCGCCCATGCTCGTCACTTACTCTCTTTGGATGAGTTCAGAGAAGCGGCGGCCCCGGGAGTCAGGAGAGCCGGGACAGGCTGGGAAGCAGACGGAGCCGAAAGGGGTCCCATGGAGGAGTCTCTGGCCACTGCGCTCACCTCGCCCGCCGGCCCTCAAAGTGCGCGAGGGATGGTTTGGCGGTAAGGCGCCGCTTCCAGACCCCGCCGAGGGTGGCTCTTTTTGGAGAGGCGGAGGCTTTCCCATGGCTTGTCCGGGTGGAAGTGGGGCTGGAAAGGCGAGCTTGCTGCCCTGGCCATCCGCCCACTCACTCGCTACGCTACCCTGCCCATGCAAGCAGCAGCGGATGGGCGGGGGAGTGAGCGATCGAAGAAGGTGCCAAAATTAAAAAGCGGGATCTTTTGAGAACAGCCCAGGACGCGGGAAAAATTATGAAAAAGCGTGCCTGTCCTGCCAAATGCGGGACGTCTGGTCACCCTACACTAAACTAATTGTTGAATTAATTCTGTCAGGAGTGAATTTCAAAGCTTGCTTTTGATCCAAAAGACTTCTGGTCAGGTTGCATACAAAGAAATCAACAAAACAGCTTTTCTGCGTATCAGGGACGTGCAGTTAGGGGAGGCAGGGTGGGCAGGACCTCACCACTGTCATCATGAAAAGAAAAAAAATGTAAAAGGAAAAAAGCTGAGGTAGTTGCTGCC